TGTATTATGGAACCAGACTATTATAAACCATGCAGTCATACAACTTAACAGCTTACATCTACAGACCATCAAATTCTCAAATTTGGCTAAAGACAATGACAATATGAACTCTTATTATACTAACCAGTCTTTCTAACCAGTGCTCACGACAAACCTTGTTCCAGCAGAGCAACGTTCCTCACACCAAGTGGCTGGTGTAACTAAACCATTTATGACAGGAAAAGCATGTGTCCGTACTTGACGGAGAAAAAAAAAAAAGCTTGAATAATGTCAACTGTACTACTTTCACGATAATGCCTAATTGGTTGACAATGCTGCCAACTATCAGTTCAAGAAATGATTAAAATTGCATCCTTAATCCAAACAGAAGTGGTTGTTTTTCACTCTGGCACATCTATAGTTACCATGTCACTAGTCAGACTCACCACACGTAGGCTTCATGTATACGCCTTTCATTTTGCTCTGCATTTTTTACATGACTTTCTCCTCCTCTGTGTGATACTGTTTTTAAATCCCTTCCCTCATAGATAAAAAGACAACTGCAACCTCTGCAGCAACCTACATGCTGATTATGGCAATTTGTATCAAAGATGATTTTGGTAGTGCTATAGCACAGGCCTGCTTGGTTCTTTTACCGAATTAGCCATTTTAATAACAGTGTAACTGTACTCACTCCCTGCGTGTAACTGTACCACCAAAACAATTCACAATTGTCACAGTTCTGCAGGGGCGTTGCTGCTGCACCCAGGCCTCAAAACTGCCCGAGATGAATGTGACTGGAAATATAACCAAACCAGGGCATTTTGTAGCAGAATGAAGATGAGGTGGGGCCAGACCATTCTCCAGCGATGACACAATACTGTGGAGATAGGTCTAGTTATGGAAGACTAAGGGTGCACTACGTTCATACAATTAAAACTATTTAGTTGAATTCAGAAAATAGTGTCACATTCTCAAACAAACCAACAATGTTCATAGGAGACAGGATACAAACTCTAGCTAAAGCAAGCATGAATATACTGTTTACCCACGTTCCCTTAGAGACGCTGTGCCTCTACAACATGTGCCTCTCGCTTCTGAGTGAGGACAGTCATTGTTTGCATGACCACAACAGGTTGCATTTGCGCAAATACCCGGTAATATCTTGTGAAATCTCAAAAAACACTTTCCATGTGTCCACATTTGTGTGTGAGTTCTTGTGTCTGTTTGTGCAGTTCAGATGGTTCAGAGAGCTGAACATGTGCTTTGCTTTGGGTTGTTTATGTATATGGGGTGTAATGATGTCATCCAAAATAATTCCTTCACCTCTTCAACATCTCTTCTCCTCTGATTGGAGATGGAAAAGATGAGAGGAGTAATCAGAGCCACATCTCCTCAAGTGATGAAAAGACCAGAAACTGGAGAACAGTGTTTGTAATGTTGTGAATCAGGAGATGGTGAAAGCTAAGAGAACATATACCGCATTTGGCTATAATTAAGTGGTCATATGGAAGGATGGAGTCTTACTTAGTGTGAGAAAAACAAAGACAAAAATATAGGAGCATATAGGGGAAGAAAATATGCTTTCTGCCTTAATGAAGTGGTTAAATGGAAGGAAGTGGCTTTACTTAAATACGAAAGTAAGTATAGCACAAATGTGAAGAGATTGGAAGAGGGCGTAAGGGAGAAGGCATTATGGGAAGGAGAGGTGGGGGTTGGTGGGTGGGGAGGATGAAGGGAAAAAAAAAAAACTAGCATAGAGGATGTGGAGAGAGAGGGACACACAGGCAGCCTGATAGACAAACACACATATACACACACACACACAAACACAAGCAAAGGTCACACAGCCATCCCCGCCACACGGTGCTCAGACAAACTGGTGGTAAAATGCTCTATTTCCCGTCCAAATTAAAGTGTCAGTTAATATTAATGTGGAAGTGAAGACTGTCAGACACACAACTTGCAGACTCACATACGCACGCGCGAGCGAGCGAGCAGCGTTTACGCTCGTGCGTACGGACACAAATGTGGAATTTAGAATCTCGCCCGGTCAATTACCATCCGCCGATAGTGTCATGCACACAGGTCACAAAGGGAAGTGCGTGTTTGTGTGTGTGTGTGCGTGTGTGTGTTATTGTGTGTATGCATGTGTTTGAAGCCCTGATCAGGCACAGTGTCACGTCTCATCCCATCTGTCACATGAAGGTTATTTCTGAATGGAGATGCAATTGTGGCGTCCTGTATTATACGAGGGGATAAGGAAATGTACCTTGTGCTGTTGTATATGTGTGTGTGTGGTCACATGTCAGCGCCTGTGTGTGAATGAGGAAAGTTTGTACCCGGGTCACTTTTCTTTTTTCCGTCCATTGCAAGTTGAGTTGTGCTTGTTTGTCTTTCCGCATGCTTGTGGTGTGTCTGTACGTGCACGTGTGTGGCGCAGAAGATTGCACACAATTGCTGTTCTGTTTGTCTTGCTGTATCTTGTTGGTGTAAATGGGAACGCTGAGGAGGTAGGGAGAGAATAATCCTTATGTATCTCTTTCTTCAACCGACCGGAACATCGCTCTCGCCTCTTGCTAGGGAGCGCACACACGCACACACAAACAAACGCACACAAACGCACTGCCCAACCAACCATGAAATCGTAATGTCAGACCTGTTAATGCCTCTAGATAGCGGCAACTGCATCCCTCCATGGTCTCGCCCCTTACACATAAACATACACACATAAACAGAATAAACAGAAAGCTATCTCGTCTGGTTCTGACGGGAACGCCGCACCCAGTGGTGGCTGGTAGATTTTTGGCTGTTTTCTTGCAAAAGAACTTGTTAATTCCGACACCCTGGGAATGTTGATTGCCTCAAAACACAGTTGTATTTAGATGAATGAAATACATAGGAAAATTTATATTCAGAATGCAAAGCCTGAACGCGCATATATTCCCAAACCTCCTGCCCAGTTTAATTTGCAGTTGTAATCCTCTTAATTGCGTGTATTAACATGGTATTTCCACCCGATTTATGTAGTTAACAACTAATGTTGGCTATTACTTCACTTTGTGATCATTGTGTATGTTTTCTGTGAGGCACTTCTTAGGTATGCGAGTCATAAACCTTGAAAAAGCAGGGCTGGGTGAATTAAACATTATGCCTTTGTGCATTCTGATTTCATAAGCAATTATACACATCCATAAAAGAAACCCCCATTTACTTCTATAGGGCAGTGGCTGTACTTAATCAGCTGTAGCACATGCGATCTTGTAAACATGAAGGGTATTGTGCATTCATGTCATGCATCACACAATACTGAGCTGTCAACATTCATACATATTGTGTTTTTAGGTATTGATTATTTTTCAAGCTTTGTTTAGAAATAGGGCTTCAAGGTGGTGCAGTTGGTAGCACTGTTGCCTCGCAGGAAGAAGGTTGCCGGTTTGCGTCCCAGTGGGGGCACCGGAATCTTTCTGCGTGGAGTTTGCATGTTCTCCCCGTGCAGCGTGGGTTCTCTACAGGTTCTCTGGCTTCCTCCCACACAGTCCAAAAACATGTTGAGGTTCATTGGTGATTCTAAACTGTCCGTAGGTGTGAATGTGAGTGTGCTTGGTTGTCTGTCTCTAAGTGTGGCCCTGTGATAGACTGGTGACCTGTCCAGGGTGTCCCCTGCCTTTGTCCTAAGTCGGCTGGGATAGGCTCCAGCCCCCCCACGACCCTAATGAGGATTAAGCGGTGTGTAGATAATGGATGGATGGATGTTTAGAAATACAGTATATAATTTAAAATGTCTTAAGATTTGATTTTATAACAAAGTTAAACTCGTTTTTTGTGATTTCATCGAAGTGCCATATCACTTATTCACAAAAGATGCTTTGAATTAGTACATTGTTATTATCTTGTTGTAGGAATAAACATGCTTGGATGTGCGAGGCATAAATTATTTTGGACTGACGGCCTTTTTAATCCTGGAATTTGTTAAACTTAATTTTTGTTTATTGACACTGACCATATGTGTTCATGTGTTAATTGTGTGAAGCCTGGCCAATACATTAGTTGGCCAATATTATTTATAACTAGAGAGCGTGCTCCGACTCGTTTACAGTATGTCCAGTACTATCTGCAGCACATGTAGCAGAGTATCAAGCTTTGTCTTCATGATGAATCGCCAACTAGTTTGTGAAATACTTTGCTTAAAGCTAATAAACAAGAACCCTACCATTTCTCTTTTTCTATATCAGTCCTAACTGTATTGGCTAATGCATCGATATCAGAATTTCAGAATTTCTTAAAATCAGTATGGGCTTCAAAAACCTGGAAACGGTTGGGCTCCTATGTCAAGCAGCTAGAATTTGTCCAACTCCTTTCCTAAAATATTCATATTGATTAATTGCATGACTTGATTTCACCATTTACTCTCAAACATCAAATCACACTGTGACCCATTGTCATCAAGTTGATATTTGATTCGACTCATTCATAGTAATCGACATCAGAACAACACCAGCTACATTATTGGTTGTTTAGCATGTGAGAGAGAGACACGGCAACGAACAGAGATCTGTTTATCACCATGCTTCTGACTAATGAGTAAATTTGCCTCCATTTCTGTAATTACCCTACTGTTTATGTGCGTTTGAGTTTATGTACCTAATTATGGGAGCATAAATGTGAACTTTTGTTTGTGTTTGCTGCCGTGTCTGCTTGTTTGGACTTTCCCATCAGTCTATCTATAGCTGCAGTCATCCGTGTGTGTGTGTGTGTGTGTGTGTGTGTGTGTGTGTGTGACAGGGCCAGACTCAGTGCCACAGAGAATCACCCTGTCAGTTTCCATGTCTCTGCGTCTTCCCCGGCGGCGTCACTCCTCTCCCCCGCTGCACAGATCAAAGAGCTGACACATGCCCCAATGTCCTCTCTCTCTCCTTCTCCCTTCTATCTTCACCTCACACTCTCTGTCTCTCTGTCTTTCTTGCAATCTTAACCCTCTCGCGCTGTCACTCACCCTCTCTTTCTATCCTTATATCCAGCTTCCTCCCCGACTATATCAGCGGGGATTTTGATTCCATTACTGCTGAGGTCAAAGCTTTCTATGCAGACAAGGTGAGTGGAACAAAACTTGCACACACACACACACACACTCTCAGACCTCTCAGACAAATGTACACACAAACACAATATGAAACTCTGGACAAAAGAATTCCATATCTTCTGTCTATTTCAATCTAAGAATGCTGTCTGAAGCCTTGAAGCTTGCAACTGGAGTTCTTAAAAAACATTGGCGTAGAGGCAACTTTATCAAGTAGCTGTGGCAGGAGTTGTTGCAGTCATGAGACACAAGAAGACACTATTCAGTTTTATAGTTTACTCCATAAATCAAGTTTTTCATCTAATACAAAGTGATTCGAACAAGCAGACGTTACTGACAATGTGGGCATTTTCTGGTGTGTTTTATAGCAGTTTGACGCCCTTTTTTTATTACATTTTTTTCAGTATACTCCTAACAGCTACATAAATGTAGATACTAGTGGGTTAGTTTAGCTGGAAAGGAGTAAAATCACTTGATCAGGTGCATAAAATGAACTCCTTTCTCGTTCTGAACTTCAATATAAGCACATGCGACTGCTCAGCCAACTCAACCGTCAGTAACTCAACATGTGGTCAACCGTCAGCTCCGCTTGGGTTTGAGAAAACATCATGTTTTCTGAGTGTGAGCAGCGTTGTACAGTCACAGAGCAGAAATCACGCTGCCCAAGTGGATACACGACTACCCAAAGTTGTCTGGAGTTAAACAGCTCTATTACTTGAGACTCTCCAGGACATCCACCTGCAGTGATAAGTACAAATGTGCAGTCAGACATATAGCTTTGCCTGCCTCCGCTCTCAAGATGCATTAAGACCTAGTCACTGCAAAACACTTACAGAGGTGCTCAGAGTCACACTTTTTAAGGTACGTTTCACTTCCTTCTCACCTGCGGTCAGGCAAACCTAATACAGTTTCTTGTTCCTGAACAGTTTTATTTGTAATAAAGAAATATACACAGATTCGCCACAACATTAAAACCGTCTGCCTGTAGGCCCCCTTCACTCCACCAAAACAGCTCTGAATCATCGCTGTGGCAGGGTGCATCGTCCTCCTGTGAGGCGCCGATGTTGTTGTCATTAAGAGGGTATGCTTAATCTGCAACAACAGCTAGATGGGTGTCATAAGAATTTCAGTGGAAGGCAACTTGACTTCTCTTCATGGTTCATGAAGATGCTTCACCTCTCATCTAAGAGGTTTCGTCAGTTCTAACTGACTGATGGGGAGTCACCCCTACATCACATGACTAATGGCCTGTTAGGGACTTAAGACTTGCATGCCTTGAGGTGTGAATGGTAAATGGGTCAGGTCAGATATGACAAGCTGTTAATGGCGGGGAAACTTTCTGGGAAGAGATCTCAAGAGCGCATTATAAGTACCTGATAGGTGTTGTGTAGACCTTCTCCTCTGGTCAGAGACGGCTTCCTTCACTCCTTACTCAAAACAGCCATTGTTTCTGTTCAGAATGTGAACATCGCTACTTAAAGGAGTGTCCCTTACCTTTTAGTTGCAGATGGACTGCTGAGTGTTGTCCTGCTGAGGTGGCTCTCCTTTCCCTTATATGTATAGGTCTAAGGATTACCATGACCTCATGACTGATAATCCAGACAGACATTTCAGTGGATGGTACACGTCAGAGTCAAAGAAGAAACCTTTATTTGCCACAAAACATTACAGCTCTGTGGAATTCCCTGTTCGCTTGTCCCAGTAAGAGTCAGAGCGCAGGGTCAGTCAGGGTAGACGCCCTGGAGCACATAGGGTTAAGAGCCTCACTCAAGAGCCCAACAGTGGCAGTTTGGTGGCACTGAGGCTTGAACCTCTGACCTCTTGATCCCCCAGAGCCTCAACTATTGGGGCACAACTGTCCAGTAACAAAGAAGTAACATCCACATTATTGCCAGGACCAAATTTTTACCAGCAAAACCTTGCATTATAACAAGACGATCAGTGATATTCGCTTTAGCTTTTGGTGGTTTTGGTGTTGTGGCCAATGGGTGTATTTTGTCTTATACTAATGGCTTCATGCCTCTTTATTCATAACAGCACAAACTTTGTTGCCTTGAGTAGAATTTCTCAGGGTAGTAGAAACCTAAGCTCGCCTCTAAACCTCACATTGAACAATTCAATACAATTTCAATTCAATTTTATTTGTATAGTGCAGTTTATAACCCGTTATCACACAGTGCTTAGCAAAGTAAGGTATAGACCTTACAAATTTAAACAGAGAAACCAACAATCCAGTTCCCTCTGGACTTCCTTTGAGCAAGCAGTTGGCAACGGTGTGAAAGAAATAAAAGGAACCCCCTCTTCCCTCACTTAAAAACCACTTAAAAAAAAAAAGGTTGAATGCACCAATTCATTAGCTTGACAAATCTACATGCAAAGTAAACAATAATATTAATTTTTACAAATAGGTATTTTTTTGAGAAGACAATATCATTCAAGACATCAAAGGGGTAACAACTAGTGCAGAAGGGTAACAGGCAAGATGATAGTGATTGTTGTTATAGGGATATCATTTTGATATTCTGCATTTTTGCAAGCGACACGATAAGTTTTGCAGATTCAACATCAGACAGTCCAGGTACAAACAGGGTTTCTCCTGAGTCCTCTGGCGACATCTTACATCATGGTCTGTACTCTGTGTGTCCCCAGCTGTGTGCAAGAAACTTGTTCATGTAGGCATATTTAGGCCAAAATGTCCAAGGTCATATGCAAATTATTTGATAAAGTGGACTTCCTATTGTTTATAGCAAGCAAAATGTCAAACCACAAGCTTGGTTCAATAAATAATTAACACAGGGTGAGTCTGACACGCATGCACACACACACGCGCACACACACACACGCGCACACACTCACATACACACACACACAACTGTGATAACAAGAAATGCAGCGCCTGTGTGATCTTTGTGCTGTGTCGCTCTGCGTCACTTTGATCACCGATGCACACTGTTTACAGTTTGAAAATGCACATCCACTGCTTTATCATGTGTACACACAACTACACACACATTATCACTCGCTGGCACACACATCCCACACTATAGGATGCCTTCAGCTGTGTCACTCTCCTTTTTTTTCCTTTCACCCATTTTCCCTTTTCTCTGTAACTGTCTGTAATATTAGACCCTTTTCACAAATATCACACAGGTTGCCTAAAAAAAAAAAGAAGAAAAAAAAAGTGAGCAATTCCTTTTTCCGTGAGAGAGAACTGACTGTTATGGTAATGCTTTTGAAGTAGAACAATGGGAAAGTTTGAGGCATTCCTTCAGAGATTTGTTGCAAACGGTGAATAATTCTGCATAAATGGAAGAGAGAGAACAGAAAAGCATCCGCAAGGGAGTGAGGGAGAGAAAAACGAGAGGCAGGAATGGAGGGATGACGGAAGAGTGGAGCAGAGGGAGGATGGATGGGATCAAACAGAGCACAGAAAGCAAGTTTGTGTGAACCGACTGCAGTGTGTGTGTGCGCGCACGAGTGAAATAGGGAAGTTGGTGCGTTTTTGGAGGAAAGTGACACGGTGGAGAGAGAAAGCCGAAGCGTTGTTGTTTACCTGGATGCTGTAGTTTAGGGCCACTGACTGGAACCTTTACATTATTCAGCAACACAACCCACAGACAGCCAGACACCACTAAAACACTGATTTATACCTCTCTCCATCTCTCTATCCCTTTCTGTTTTTCTGTACTCTTATTCCTGTATCCCTTATCTCCACCAGGGTATTTGTTTCCCTATCTGTGTATGTGTACATCCATCTGATTGTGTTTTGTTGCCCGTGTGTATGTGTGTGTGTGTGCCATTTTTCTTCTATGTGAGCAGGGGTGCAGGCTGATAGAAACCGCTGACCAGGATCTAACAGATTTCACCAAGTGCCTCGCAGTCATGGTGGAGGAGATTCGGAAGCGACAGTTGCAGGTAAATTGCACAGCACTCATTCTCTGATGGTGTCATTCTTGCATGGTTTTGAATTATGCCTGATATTTGTGTTTTAGATGTATTTTTAAAGGAAAAGTTTGACATTTTGGGGAAATGTGTTCGTTCACTTTCTTGCCAAGAGTTAGAGGAAAAGATCTGTACCACTCATATCCGTCTGTTATAAATGAAGCTTGGGCCAGAAAACAGTCAGCTTAGCTTGGCATAAACACTGGGAGCAGTGGGAAGCAGCTACCCTGGCTTTACCCAAAGCCAGAAATATCTGCCCACCTGCAACCTCTAATGCCAGGTTCCGACTGCACAATATTTTTTGTCTGATAAGATGGTCACTGTGTCACATTAGGTGTTTATAGAGTCATACAATCTTGCTGTGACTTGACTCAGACGCTGGACAGATTACATGTTGGTGACTGTTAAAAAAAAAAAAAACAGTCAGAAATTCTCATAATTTTTCCATCGTACTTGACATTTGTGGTTACTCAAAAATGTCAGTAAAATTACTGAAATAGACTGAGACATTACAAGTCCAATGAAAAAATATATTCAAAACCTGAAAATGTGAATAACCATAACCATTTATTGATTTTTTTTTAAACATAAATTGGTTAAAAAAAATACATTTGCAAATTTAATTACATTTTTCAAATGTTTCCGTTCTATTTAATACATAAACCTGTTAAAATTCATTACAGTTGGTGACTATTGTTAAATGAAAATGATCTTTATATAATTACAGAAATTTTCACAACAAAAATGTTGAATGAATGTGTTTTCATCAATGTGTCATATATGTAAGCAGTCAAAGTATGATTTTAATCCATTATAAATGTATTATATTATTATTGTTGTTGTTATCGGTAATTTTGTTGTAATTTTATTGTTTTTACACTTTATTGTCTTTTATCACAGTAACAAGTTACATGTTACCGTGTTAAAAAAGAAGAAGGTTAGAAGATGTATTTTTTATTTATTTATTATAGACCATGACTCATATTTATATTATGAAATATTGCCTCTTTTTTTATTTTTTTTACAATTTGTTTATTTTGTATGCATTTATATAGCGCTTTTATCTAAAGCGCTTAACAATGTGTCTCTCATTCACTCACACACATTCATACACCAATGGTGACAGAGCTGCCATGCAAGGCGCTGCCATTGGGAGCAGCTTCAGGTTCAGCGTTAAGGACACTTCAACTGTGGAGGGGCGGGGGATTGAACCGCCAACCTTGCGACTGGAGGACAACCTGCTCTACCAGCTGAGCCACAGCTGCCCTTATTTGTAGTGAATCATAGCTACCCATCTTCACAAACTGCACAATGTCATCTGGAAGAAGGTGCCAGTACCCAACTACCCGAAACAAGAATGTAAAAAAACAAACAAACAAACAAACAATGCCTGTAGTGATACTTGCTGTCTTGTGTTCGACCAAACAAAAAAAGAAAAGATGGCTCTGGGTTCCTTTGTAGGCCACACAAAGAAGTATAAGGTGGATTGTCTTCCCTTTAGCCCCCTTCTCTATGTAAAGTGTTGGCCTCATATTAGTTACCACACAACGGAAGAGGAATTCTGACATGGTCGTCTCTTTGTCAGGAAGTTGTGAGTCAGGTATCCTCGATACTACATCAGTTGTCAAATCTGGATAAACGAACTGTTTCTCTGCCCGTCTCTCATTTACGGTCTCAATGGTCTACATCTTTCTAGTCAAGCTATTTTAATGCCAATATCATGTAGTCTGCATCGTACATGTATCTTATTTATTAATATATATATATTAATATGTTGTGTGTTGTGCTGCAAGGTGTCTCAATGGTTAGCATCGTTGCCTCATAGCCAGAAGGTCGCCGGTACCCATCCCGGTGCGGACACCCGGAATCTTTCTCCCCGTGCAGCGTGGGTTCTCACCAGGTTCTCCGACTTTCTTCCACAAGGTCCAAAAGCATGTTAAGGTTAATTGGTGATTCTAAATTGTGTGAATGTGAGTGTGCTTGGTTGTCTGTCTCTAAGTGTAGCCCTGCAATAGACTGGTGACCTGTCCAGGGTGTCCCCTGCCTTCACCCTAAGTCGGCCCCACGACCCTAGTGAGAATTAAGTGGTGTATAGATAATAAATTGATGGATGGATGGATGTTGTGTGTTTAATTCCTTCATAAACTAAAAAGAAATAGTATTACTTCTTGTGTGAGGCAGTGACTTCCTAGTCCAGCATATGATAGCTAAACTTAGTTTTTTGTGCATTAAATTAGGAAAATACAATGTGTTATTTAGTATTCATTACTTACGCCTACCCTTTATTATCCCTTAGGCAAACCGTCTCTTGGCTCCAGCTTCATATGTGGGAGACATACATGAAGTTTTTTCAGTTACCTCTTGTTTCCTCTTGGAAAAGAAAAGAAGCACATTTCCCAAAATGTGGATCTGTTTCTTTATTGGAGCTACTTTGTTCTGCTTATCAGTGTCAAAAACAATGTTTTCACAAGCAGCGGTAGATGTGTAAAAGAAATCAGTAAACCTCTCAATCCGTGAGTGTTTAGTGCCCTCAAACGCGGCATTCAGTCCTCAGGTACCTAAGATGAGGTGCTCAAAGGTCAGCAGTGCTGGACTGCGGTTTACTGGTGGCAAATCCCTTGTGCGAACGTGTGTGGGTGTATGGATATGAAACAATATCTCTGCAGGAAAAGAACATTCACGCTCACACAGCGTACCCCGAAGAAACAACGGCTGAAAAATATCATTGGAATAATATGAGCCATATTTACACCTGCACACAAAAATGCAAAGTGCGATTCTTCTGAAACGAAATGCTTAACTTTTGTTGTGATCTGTTCAAAGTGTAAAGCATTTCCCTAACAACCCCCAATATCTAAAAGTCTGGAATGAGCAGCCAGTCAGATCGGAGCCCCATGCCCAGCCAGCTGCTGCAGAGCCAGACACACACACACACAGTGATCTGATCCAGAGATTGATTCAATTTCCATTCCGACTCTCAAAATGTCAGCTGGAGCGCGCAGAAGGTCCGTAACATGAGCAAAATATGCAGTAAACAATATACGTTTAATTTCAAGAATTCTAGCAGCGATCGTTGTTAAGATGAGTGGCGCCATGGGACGCTGTGGTTTGTCTGTTTATCTCTCTTCCTTCTGGCCTTCCTCTTTCCTCTGTCGTCCTTTTTTCTATTTATTTTTTCTCCGTTCGAATTTCTGGAGTGTTGCTCCAATCACAGCCAAGTGTCGCAATCACTTCACATCTCTAAGCTAATGAAAGACACTNCCTTCTCCCTTCTATCTTCACCTCACACTCTCTGTCTCTCTGTCTTTCTTGCAATCTTAACCCTCTCGCGCTGTCACTCACCCTCTCTTTCTATCCTTATATCCAGCTTCCTCCCCGACTATATCAGCGGGGATTTTGATTCCATTACTGCTGAGGTCAAAGCTTTCTATGCAGACAAGGTGAGTGGAACAAAACTTGCACACACACACACACACACTCTCAGACCTCTCAGACAAATGTACACACAAACACAATATGAAACTCTGGACAAAAGAATTCCATATCTTCTGTCTATTTCAATCTAAGAATGCTGTCTGAAGCCTTGAAGCTTGCAACTGGAGTTCTTAAAAAACATTGGCGTAGAGGCAACTTTATCAAGTAGCTGTGGCAGGAGTTGTTGCAGTCATGAGACACAAGAAGACACTATTCAGTTTTATAGTTTACTCCATAAATCAAGTTTTTCATCTAATACAAAGTGATTCGAACAAGCAGACGTTACTGACAATGTGGGCATTTTCTGGTGTGTTTTATAGCAGTTTGACGCCCTTTTTTTATTACATTTTTTTCAGTATACTCCTAACAGCTACATAAATGTAGATACTAGTGGGTTAGTTTAGCTGGAAAGGAGTAAAATCACTTGATCAGGTGCATAAAATGAACTCCTTTCTCGTTCTGAACTTCAATATAAGCACATGCGACTGCTCAGCCAACTCAACCGTCAGTAACTCAACATGTGGTCAACCGTCAGCTCCGCTTGGGTTTGAGAAAACATCATGTTTTCTGAGTGTGAGCAGCGTTGTACAGTCACAGAGCAGAAATCACGCTGCCCAAGTGGATACACGACTACCCAAAGTTGTCTGGAGTTAAACAGCTCTATTACTTGAGACTCTCCAGGACATCCACCTGCAGTGATAAGTACAAATGTGCAGTCAGACATATAGCTTTGCCTGCCTCCGCTCTCAAGATGCATTAAGACCTAGTCACTGCAAAACACTTACAGAGGTGCTCAGAGTCACACTTTTTAAGGTACGTTTCACTTCCTTCTCACCTGCGGTCAGGCAAACCTAATACAGGTTCTTGTTCCTGAACAGTTTTATTTGTAATAAAGAAATATACACAGATTCGCCACAACATTAAAACCGTCTGCCTGTAGGCCCCCTTCACTCCACCAAAACAGCTCTGAATCATCGCTGTGGCAGGGTGCATCGTCCTCCTGTGAGGCGCCGATGTTGTTGTCATTAAGAGGGTATGCTTAATCTGCAACAACAGCTAGATGGGTGTCATAAGAATTTCAGTGGAAGGCAACTTGACTTCTCTTCATGGTTCATGAAGATGCTTCACCTCTCATCTAAGAGGTTTCGTCAGTTCTAACTGACTGATGGGGAGTCACCCCTACATCACATGAATAATGGCCTGTTAGGAACCTAAGACTTGCATGCCTTGAGGTGTGAATGGTAAATGGGTCAGGTCAGATATGACAAGCTGTTAATGGCGGGGAAACTTTCTGGGAAGAAATCTCAAGAGCGCATTATAAGTACCTGATAGGTGTTGTGTAGACCCTCTCCTCTGGTCAGAGATGGCTTCCTTCACTCCTTTCTCAAAACAGCCATTGTTTCTGTTCATTGCTTCTTAAAGGAGTGTCCCTTACCTTTTAGTTGCAGATGGACTGCTGAGTCTTGTCCTACTGAGGTGGCTCTCCTTTCCCTTATATG